ACAGCTGTTGGGAAAGTTGGCATTGCAGGAAGTGACAGATATTGTAAAGCTACTAATCTGTAGATGCTGTACAGTCATCTTGCTCTTGGTCTGGGGCAAGATGTTTCTTGAAATAATCAGACTTAGTGATTTCCATTATAAAAGTAAACAAAATGAGTATTATTTCTTCATACATCAGGAAATAGGCACACCTATACCAATTTTGTTATTAGTATAATACATGAATTGATGCTTCCCTGGATTCACACATACAGTTTGGTCCTGCTGTAAACTTTCTTTTATAATTATAATAATTTATTAAATGTATGTGCCACCTGACTCCCAACAACTCTGGGTGGTTTTATCTTGTTTCCAAACTCCAGTATCCCGAAGTCTTAAGACTGGAAAATATTATTCCTATCATCTATTTTCTATCAAGCACCATTGGCAAGTGGCAGTTAGAGTTGCCATGCCTGGGCTACAAAAATTTGGATGATTGCTAGAAGACAGCAAAGAGAAACAGACAAATATAACTTGTTGCTGCCATCTTGTGATCACCTGGATTTTTGCAGCCCAGATCCGGTAGCCCTGCTGGCTGTATTGTAGGGTGTGTTTTGCCATGGTCCTCAGTGTTCTGGCTAGGAAGATACGCTTTGTTGGAAATATGCTCTATGTAGCTTAGTTATTTAGTCTTCATACTTTGGTTGTTCTAAATAGAACTATCACACCACATAAGCTTAAAACTGATTCAGTTTCTACAGAGCTGCTGCTTTCATTTTTGTAAAAGCAAGCTTCTAGTCCTTTTGAATGCAAAAAAGAAATAGGTGGTAATGCCTCATAAACCAACGTTAGTCTGAAATGGATTTTCAGTGGAACTGCTGAGAGAGATGCTTCTCCATGTATTCAAGGTGCCTTAGTTATTTAGGATAAGCACAGTCCCACTTTGGAATGATAGCCACTTGTTTTCCTCCCGTTACACTTCTTTTGATTCTCCATGTGCCCCAAAGCAAACTTCAGAGAGGTTCTGATGTCTGACCAAGCAGTGAAAAGTTCATTAAGGTGCTGAGTTTGGGTCAGATGGCATGTAGGGAAATGCCAACCCAAAGTCAGAGTAATCTCAGAGTCAGCGGCAGTCACCACCATGTCCTTGAGGGTTAAATTAGGTTTGCCATGCTGGAGGTAGGAGGAAATTGCTGACTGGCAGAAACGTGTCCTGATACGGTGAAGATGGCACTGTTGTTTTCAGCCCCCTGGTTCTGACGGATAGCCGGACGGCAGGAAGTCCATGTCAAATACAGCAACAGACTGAGCAGGATAATTGCTCCCGCAGCTGTGAGCACAATGCCACTGATAAACATGCTGGCAAGGGGGCGTGGGGTTGGGGGACTGGTGCTGACACTGGTGGTGGAGAGGGCTGTGAGCACTGTGCCACACACCAGCAGCACCAAGGCCGTCAGCAGAAGCACAACGCAGTCAGATGCCCCACCGCTCTTCAGCAACTCCACCTGTTCTCGTCTGCGAATGCAGTTCATGTCCTGGATGGCAGAGCTCAACAGTTGCTTCAGTAGTACCAAGAGTGCCAGCAGACAGAGCGTTGTGCCCACTGCCAGCCTCCACTCTCCAGAGCGACTGCTAGTACTGTAGAGCAGGGCAATGCCACCCACCCCACAGGCTAGAATCAAGGCCACCGCTATTCCATAGCAGATGAAGGACTTCCTGGGCTCCTGGAACCACCATAGCTCCACATGCTCTTCCAGGATGTTTCTCTGGATCTGGCTGGCATTAGCCGGGAGCCTGGGTTCATTCAGGTGCTGCAGTTCTGGCATGGGGGATGCTGAACTGGCTCACACACAGAAAGGATGAGCCCTGGAGCTGCTGCTTTCAGCTGGCCTGATGCGTGACAGCAAGGAGGAGGGTGGGTACTTGAGACATTTTCCTGGGGATAGAGGCAGTGCGTTATTTTTTGGTTCCTACCCAAATCACAGTTTGTCTTGCTTGGATGGAAACGGTTGGAGAGGAAACAGCAGCAACGGAAGACTCTTCTATCTGAGGCTGAGACCAAAACCTGCTTCAGCGTCTTGCAGCTCTCTTCTGAGCACACCCGGATTCTGAGCACACCCAGATCCAGCCAGCTCTCTGAAAAGGAAACAATGACAAAATATGAAAAGAGAGCTTTCTCTCCAAAAGGTGAAAAGAAAGTGTGATGAAGACCACTCCTCATGGGGTCAACCAGGGTCCATGCAAGTCAAACCAGCATTTTGTGGGCCAGGCTATACTCTTCCATGCCTTGCCTTCAAAAGGTAAGTCAAAAGCCTTCCTTGTGGCACAATGTATGTGCCAAGAAAAGCAAGATTCTGCCTTCATGAGTAAATTTTAACTGAAACTTCAGTTGCCCTTATGAAACATTTGGATGCATTTTCTCATTTACACAGTTTGAATAATTTATAGCAAAATGTAAGCATGCAAGAAATGCTGCTCATATTTCTACTCACAGTTTTTTAAACTATTTTACTAACACCCCCACCCCCACCAATTTGGAGACAATCATCTTCATAATACTTAAATCTCTTCTTTAAGAAAAGATGGATTTGATAGTCTCAGGATGCTTAACTTGGCTGTTTGTACTAACTTCTGTCTTGATGGGAAGCAAAGATTAATTATAATTGGTGTCAGCATTTCTCATGACATCAGGATGATAGATGTTGAAAGAAAAAAAAAAATAAAACAGTTCTCCAGTGAGGAAAGGCAAAAATAGGTTCTGTATTGAAGTTATGTTTTTGTCATTTTGGGATTAGCTTTGCATTTATTAAAAATATTTAGTTAGCTTTGAATTTATTAAAAATATTGAGTGTTAACATGTTCATTACAAAGACATATTTCACAAAATAATTAAAATTAAGAAATATCCTGGTCCTACAGCTCATCCTCATGTCCCCCTAATTACTGTACAAAGATGCTTCTCTAATCACTTTTAAGGGACACCTTCTCATGACATCACCTCTGTCTTTTCCCCAGTTCACTGCAGAGGCACCCTGAAGATGTCTACAGTTGTTCCACTGTTAAAGCAGTATTTTCCAGTTTTTTCCAACACATCTTGCCATACAGTCTAAAATGCCTTGATGATGAAGCTGGCAATAACATGGACAGGGCAGGGAATTGATTGTCTAAGTCTGCTGTGGATGTAGCATCTCTCTGCCTGGGCTATGGCTGGGGCTGTGTGAGAGTCCAGATACCTGGCACAGTCTTTTTTGTTCATTTGTTACATCTCTCTGCCTGGGCTATGGCTGGGGCTGTGTGAGAGTCCAGATACCTGGCACAGTCTTTTTTGTTCATTTGTTACATCTCTCTGCCTGGGCTATGGCTGGGGCTGTGTGAGAGTCCAGATACCTGGCACAGTCTTTTTTGTTCATTTGTTACATCTCTCTGCCTGGGCTATGGCTGGGGCTGTGTGAGAGTCCAGATACCTGGCACAGTCTTTTTTGTTCATTTGTTTTGAAGTGGGAATATCGATCTTCTGGAAGACTGATAGGTTAGCATTATTGTAATTTTTGTATCAGTCTCCTGTTCAGCTGATGGCTTTTCATGTTGGTAGGTGATGCTGGGTGGGAGGAGAAAGGAAGCTGGACCATCCACTGTCCTGCATTAACTCTGTGAAGAAAGCAGCGCTGTTCCCTGGCTTCATGCTCAGCTGAGGAAGACAGCACAAATTATCCTGGTATACTTTTCTGCTGCTTGAAGGATGGGAGGAATATATGCTGACTATGGCTGGGAAGAAGGATTCTTAGAACAGAGGAGAAAGGCGCACATTTTTGTGAAATAACAATAGTCTTTTCTATATTCCATCACTTTCTAGGAAGCATGTAGGGTGAAAGAGTAGCATTTACAGATTATAAAAATTGCTTGAATTTAATTCCAAAATTTGTTTACTGATTTTTAACCATTGTGATTCCTAAAACATTTCACACTGCACATTAAAACAGTGTAAAATTACTCCTGAGTATCACGGAATCAAAGCAGCAGATTAAAACAGGATCATAGTACCAAGGCCTCACAATTGTCCCAATAAAATGGGAAAGACATGATTAATTTTTTGTGTATTAACACACTTGTGAAACGTCACCCTGAAAGAGCAAGCAGGAATCATGCAATGTGCTATCTAGGTACAAAGTTCTGTCAATTGCAGGAAAAAGGATGCAGCTATTATGTATCCCATGAGTACATCTTAATATCATTTGAAAAAGACAAAAACAGATTTTGAAAGGCATAGTGCAAAAATATCAGAATTGCTTCTGTTGAAATAAATGGCTCATCCTTATTTTGTAGTTTTGTAAATTTGATGAATCTAGTGATATAACAGGCTTTATGACTGTGTGAATAAAAACAGTCAATATCAAAAGGAATACATATACAATAGAAATACAATATCTTCTGTATAACATATGCACTAGGAACAGGTATATTGTGATTGATAATAGTTGAGAATAGTTTGATAAATATGAAGAGGGGAAATATTATTTTGTATCATAATAGAATTAGTGGTCATCCAACAAAATTGAAATGTGATTTTAAAACAAGATGAATTTTCTTATAAAGCACTTACTAAATATGGGGTTAGGGGGAAGGAGGGAATATCCATAGCTATAAACAATAAATGACTAGAATGATCATAAAGCATCAATTTCCTTGGCTGTTACACACATCCTTAGTACTTGACTATAAAGTGTACATTGGTCTACTCCAGAAAGGTTGCACACATGCCTTATAAAGAAGCTTCTTCCATGCAGGCCCTCAAGGACTGGTCCAAAGTTCCTGTTTTGAAATTACCTTCAATGTGCTCTTCTGGTTATAACATCTCGATTCCAGGGTGGTGGGTCAGTGGCTCCATGCCTTCTAGGAATTCCACTCATAGGTGCTGCAGTCTTGGCTAAGTCTTCAACAAGTTGGCTGTTCCTGGTGTAAGGGTGTGCATGTCATGCACCAATTCTTAGCTGTGTTTGGGCTCTTGATACAAGTCTTCATTTTAGTAGCATTTGCTCCTTGTACTGATGATTGAGGCAGAGATCCCACACAATAAGAAAGCTTCTTTCACTGTTCCAGTCTCACATGGTCCCTCATCAGCATCTGCCTCTTGTCACCAACTGGTTCTCTGGTTTTGAGACAATAGAAGCTTGCATCTAAGCTGTCTTAACCCTTGATGTACATTTTTTTCTCAAAAAGCAATTGAGATCTGGACTAAGTACAGGAGTTTGCTACATTTTTAGCTTCTCTTCCTCTGTCCCTGCTTAGGATACAAATAACACTTTAATTTCATCCAACTTGATAAAGTTGTTGGCCATGGTAACATTTAACCATTTTGTATTACTTTGCTCTTAAGATTTTTTCCTTTAGGTATCCTGGTAATAAAGCAGGAATCTAAGTGGAAAGTGGATGCCGAATATGTTACTTAGGAAGAATTGATAAAATACTTCTGCTAGCCTATTCTTAAGATGGTGAATCCTTGCTGGACCATTTTGAAATATTTTCAGTATTTAAGCAGGAGTTTACAGTAGATTTGCTGGCTTAAATGGCCCTTGCAAATTTTATGATTCTGAGTCTTCCTCTGTACAGTAGAATATCAAAAGTATCAGAGGCCTGAAAATAAAATTATCTTCATAGGTAAATATGATGGTGGTTAAGTCTAGATGTTGCCCCTTAATCTTCTGAAGCCAGTTTATTTTGCTCAGCTCTGAAATCAGAAAGTCACTTTATTTAAATAAGCCACAGTGTAGTATGGAAACTAAGTTCAGGATCTGAAGATATTCAGGAGAGAGTACCTTACATCCCGCTGTTTACACTGGTAGCTGAAATCTGCAGTCCTTTGCCTTCCTACCTAGAACTGTACTCCAATGAATATAGTGGAGTTTCTAAACAGGATGATAACCTAAAAGTGCATTCTGGCCTAAAAACCATTAGGCCCTTATATAAATGGAATGATAGTGCTTAGTACTGCAACATGAAATTTTGAAAAAATGGCTTAAAATCCTTTACATCCTTTTCACAGGCTTACCAAAAAATCTATTCCCCAACAGTGTTTTTCTTGTTTTCTTTCTGCTTCCCTTGGATTTGTATGCATATCAAATGGACATACAAGATGTAACACTGCCCACCCCTCCTTGAAAGTAATAGCAACTTCTGCCAGCCTGGTGTTCAAGAGATGTATTGGGCTACAACTTCCATGATTCTCAGTATAAAAGTTGTAGCTCAACATATCTCCTTGCAGCAAGTTAGGGAACAGTCCAATACAGAAAGCTGGCAGTCCAAATGGAATAGACCCCAAGTGAGGATGTTATACCACTGCCCTGGATTCCTGCTACTGGGAGGAACTTTCAGAATAAATCCCAGCTTTAGAGAGTTTCAGTCTATTTGCCTTGCAAAAGGAGACCTGCACCCCACTTGCAATCAGTTTAACATCCTTTTTAACAAAGATTGCAAAGATGTCTGCAAAGAAGGAGATTCATATCTGAGGGAGAGTGTTACCTTGATTTGGCTCAGTGCTAAAATCATTGCCCTTTTTTGTATTATAGCAGATCTTAGCAGTGAAATTAAGTAGGATAGAAGAAGGGACTTCACTAAATGTAGGCAATACGTATGGCGTAGGAGTCAAAGCAATGTGATGATCATTTATAAATCCACCACTAGCCAAAGGCAGCAATTCAGTATGTTTGGAATCAGTAGGATGCATTAGAGAATGATCATGTGTGGAAATCTAACAGCAGGTAAGGGATTTAGAGGATATTTAGTACAGCATATAAGAATGAAAGAAGTGTTATTAACACCCTCCCCCAAATTCTCAAATAAGAGATCCCATTTATCCCAGGCAATTGTTTAATAATTTGATTAGAGGCTACTGGAGTTTTCCCTTGGCAGAAGCAGTGGACAGAAAGAAGAGGCTTCTGATCCAGACACAGCCTGACAGCATCAGTCCAAACCCCCCTCTCCAACAGGGACAGAACATGAGATCACTCTTAAAACCATATGGAGATCAGGCTTGTTTAAGGCAGATTGCCAGCTAAGCCACGTGATTGGAGAAACCAGAGTACTAAATCCAGTACCAAGTCACTGGAAAGTGGACCAAGATAGAAGATAACCCCACACACACACACAACACCCCAACATCTTTTTATGTTAATTATGAATGAAGCTTAAATTCTTGAGAAAGAAACAGTTGAACCCTGTGGATGTTAAATTATGGGTACTGACATGAAATCCATATTCATGACTCCATCCATTTCATTTAAATACCAAACAGTGAAAAAGAATTGTTATATGCTTTAGGCAATACTTGCCCAAGGCTATGGATGGATGGATGGATGGATGGATGGATGAATGGATGGATGGATGGTGCACGCTAGCTTGGGACAATGTTTGCTAAATTTTGCTGGAGTACCTGTAGCTAGAAGTTAGTATCCAGCTTGGTTTCAGCTATTCGGCATTAACCCATATGGGAAAAGACCTGTCTTCCTCATCATTTCTTACTTTGAGTTGGTGAAGCTACTGGATAAGGAAACCTAGAGAGGAAGAATGGTTTTAAGACTTTAAAAATATGCCAGTTCTACCTACTTTGATAACTCCTGGAGTTTAAATGAACATAAAAAGTAAACAGAAATACATGCAAATTAATATGGAAATAGGTACATCTGTATGTTGGTATGATATAGCTCAGGAAAGAAAGAATGTATGTGAGTGTATAGTCCTCTGAAAAATGTTCAGAAGGCAGCTTCTCCAAATCTTGACTGAAAAGAGAAAGGGTAGCATGGCATGGAGGCAAACAGATATTTGCTGGGATGGGCATGGAGTTCACTCACCTGCAGCTGATTGATCACAGAAGATGTTGCAAGAATCTTTTCCTGGGCCACGCTCTTAGGTTTCCTAGGATGGTTGTGCCATAGTCCTCTTCCATTGGGGTTGACTAATGGGTCAATTTTTAGGATATGGTCCAAGGATAAAATTGAAACCTACCTTCTACACTCTCTGCCTGTATCTGCCTATCAAGCAACAGGTGCTAGTTCCACCTCCTTCCTCAGTCTAACACCAGATGCTTCATCTGATAGGTTTACAGCAGGCACTGACCTTTGCCCAGGCAGGTACATTCTGTAGCAGGGTGGAGTTGGAGAGACAACCTGTTGTCCTTGGAAACATTCCAGCCTGATGACGGTGTGCATACGGGAAATGAAAATAAGGCTGGTGAAGCCAACAAAAGAAGGATATACATTACAGGTAGAGGTAAACAGTACAGGACGACAGAGATCGATTGCTCATTGCAAGACAATTGACATTTTTTCTTCAAGGAACAGCACATGGGCAGTAAGGACATGGTACAAATTAATGTCAAGATAGAAATACAACTTCTCTTCATCTTCTGTCTCTATAGGGAACCTTTGGCAGACTTTCTGGGAATAGGAATGGCTCTTGAGTCCTAATAGGAAGTATTAATTGGTTTGGGGAATGAACATTCTAATTAAACTGATCACTGATGATCTCTACAAAGGTTAGAACAGTATGCAATTATCATTAAAAAGACCATAGACTGTTGGAGAAAAATTGGCTAATTGGGCTGGATTTGGGGTCTGTTAAAATGCTATCTATCCATCCTACAGTTGGTAGAAAACTATACCAGCATAACATTTCCTGTCCCCACTGCTGATATCTATCCTGCACTGATTGCCTGTCTTGGCTGGTAGCCAAATAGTGGTGCCCTTATTTCATGTCTGCAGGTTGCATTAAACAAAGTAATTGGTAAAACCTTTTCACCAGCCAGCAGCAAGCCAGCAGCCAATCATGACAGTGATGAGAAGATGGGGCTGGGGTAGGTGGCAGGTGAACAGGTGAACAGGTGGCTTGACCTGCCTCTCCTGTTCTGATAAATACACTAAAGGATGAGAGTGCAGATCTGCTTGCTACTTCTAGAAGTCCATTGAACAGCTGTTCAGTGGCCTTCTGGAGATGGTGAGTTTTGACAAATAGCTAGATTCATGCACTCTGCAGGAAGGCTTTGGCCTGTTTTCCAAACTTGTTCCTTTTGCAAAATTGAACATAGCTGTGGCCTCACAGCTATGTCCAGTTCTTCCAGGAAGAGGGGGAACAACCCCCAGAAGGTAGAGGTAGAGAATGCCCAGGGATTGGCAGGGATGTGCCCACACCAGCCTGAGCTGGCTACTAGATGCTAAGTTGATCCCATCCCCTTATGATCCCCTGACTCTGCTTCCAACAGAATGGTTGGTGAAGCACGTCATATTTTACACACTTTGGAACAGGTGTGAGTTGCTGTCAGTTTAAGGGGAAAACTCTTACTTTAGCACTGGAACAGCTTACGCCTGCCTCACATATGGGCTGAGGACAAGATGAAGGCGATATCATGGGGATATAGTAGAAAAAAGATGTTGTCAGGCAAATTTGTCCCATGGTTAGGTGCAACTTGGGAAAGGCCCTCTGAGAAGCATACAACAAAATTGTTAGATCCTCAATTCTGTAAGGATCTAGCAATTTAGATCCTTAGGCAAAGTGACAGGAAGAGTGTTGAAACTGAAGTTCACCTTATCTGGAGGTCCAACATTAGGGAAAATTGTACAAGCTCCTTTCATAATATTTCTAAACTATGGCAAATTATTGGATGTTTTGACTCTTCTCTGTTTCGGTATCTTGATTTCTTTCCTTGTTTGTGGTTTGTAGCAGAGCACATTCTTCTCCAAGTGACAATGGGAATTTTTCTTATACATACACACAGGCATTTTAACATCTTGAAAAGTTCCTCCTGCAATATGACCCCCTCCTAGCTGATATAATTATTACTTTGATGAATATACTGTAACTGAAGTCTCCTTCAAGTCAAACCTAAGTCTTAGTGACTTCCTGGACACAACTATGTAGTTTTCTTGGCAGTAATACCAAAGTGGGTTGCCATATTTTCTTGTCAGGCTTATAACATACCCCCTCAGTAACTTGTGGCATTGTTTCCACCACAGACGTTTTAAATCCTTTTTAGCCACCTCTCTTGAATGTTCTTGTTTAAATTACAGTGTGTTTTAGCAGGAGGTATTGATATTTAGCTTACATTGATTCCTGTTTAAAATGTAACTGTTACTAGGACAATACTGACAATATTAAATGTACACTGTGTGCTCAATAATGGGAAGTAAGTTCCATATACCATGGATGCAAAACAATACTAGCGCCTATTCATCTAGAGAAAACCTACCTTTGGTGACACTGGCATGCCACGAGCACAGTTTGTTATACTACCTTAGAACCCCAAATAGAGTTGTAAGTTTGGCAAATTTAATGAAGCCAACATTACAATTCTGCAGCTAGCCCATAAGTAGCTTCCTGTTTGGGAATTGTCTTCGCACTAATGCTGGATAGTAACCATATGGGAAAGTGCTTCTTCAGCATGAGTTGCTTGGCCCTTTTTTTCAATCAGGAATAATCAACTTCTTTTGATCAGGTTCTTATACTGCATCTTTAGAAGTGGTGTATGCACATGTAAAGACATGTGGTACAGAGAAAATGTCTCACCTAAGGGCAGCACTTCAACTTGATGAAGCCAAAACCAAACTATTTTAATATACCTATCAGAGAATAATTAGCTAGTAATTAACAATTCTAGAATTGTGTCCGCTTTCATTGCAGGAAATGATAGACAGAGGGAAGAATGCTGAATATGAATGATCTAATTTGTAAGATATTATAAAGAGCTGTGACCAGGACCTTCCTTTATAAGGCATTATGCCTGAAGTACTTATCCACTTCAAAAATCAGGAAAAGCTGCTTCTGAGCACTGAGAAGCACAAAGATAGCTCCCATCTGCAACTGTTTTAAACAATCGTGTCTTCTCCCAGGAACATGAGGTTGTCATCTACAGCTGCCACATCCCAGGGAAAAAGTGCAGCTGCTTTAAAGAGTTGCAGAGAAATGTTATGCTTGCACTCGGCCCCCATACTCTCCAGAATACCCTTTTGGAATCAAATCTAAATTATCACACAGTCCTACTGTTCTCTTATACCAATTCTTATTTTCTCTAATTTGCTAAATGCGTTTCTCTAAAATGCACGAATCACTCATACATTATCTTTGTTATATATATATATATATTTTATAATTTAATAAAATATTATTTTGACTTTCAATTTGTTATTTAAAGCCTTGTTAATTGTTATGGTTATCTAAATAATATCTTCCTATGACTATTAAGTCATGCCAGCTAGACTATAGTCCTAAATCTTCCTCCTTGGCTTACTACCTGTCAGAGTCCTTTTGCTTTTATGGTGAACAGAGGCAAAAAAACCAGCTTTTTTTTTTTTAAAAAAGAAATTCTACCAAAATATTTCCACAGAATTTCTGTGTTATCTATGCTATATTTTCAATACAAAGATGAATAGTGACAACGTTCAAAAGTTAAAGGAGAGGAAATTTTAGATAAGACCTTTATAGTAATGAAAAGATCATTAGCACCTATACCAAAAAGGAAATATTAGTGCAAACATGATTGGTAATATGTGTCCAGGATCTATTTAAAGTACTGTTGCTTACCAAAAATCATTCATCATTTATATCCGAGGGGCATTATTTTGCTCTATTGTTTCCTATGGTAACAGTTAAACGAAAAGAAATATTGTAGATTCAACAAATTGTCAGATGTAAACACCTCTATTAATATCACTATGGCCATAAAAAAGAGGCAAAATTCTGGCCCTACCCTTCCAGTGATATCAGGATGCCACTGCTATGCCCCTTCTAATGCTTGGCCATAGGAAGAATATCTCTGAAATATATTTTCTTTAAAAAAATGTGGCCATTGGTTGGGAAAAAAATGTTACATTGTCAACAGTTATGACACATTTTGTGCACACCTAATTATATATTTCAAGACATAGTGTTTTATTTTTCTTTCTTTTCCCACTGGTGTCTTTTTACAGTTTGGGCACTTCACTGACAGTCACAGACCATAGTGCTCCAATTATTTTTCAGATGTGAAGAATCAAAATCAGCATGTGAGCTATGAGATAAAGTGTAAAGATAAAAACCCTAATGGTTATAGAAAGATGAAGGAGATAACATTTAGATGCTATTTAAGGAGGTCTCAACAATATTATTATCAAAAGGAGATAACATTTAGATGCTATTTAAGGAGGTCTCAACAATATTATTATCAAAAGGAGATAACATTTAGATGCTATTTAAGGAGGTCTCAACAATATTATTATCAATATATTCCTTAGTATCTAGGATAACAGGGGACTTATTATACACATGGAAGAGCATCAAGGAGGTGTAATCTTAAAATAAGGACTATGTTGGAGAACAGAGATGGCATGAAGGAATGGGGGAAGGGGAAAGAGTTGTATGAGAATGAAATAAAGTTGTTCTGGACAGATAACAGAACAGTAACATATTGAGAGTTCACATCTGCTAGCCTGTTTCCAATAATACCACACACAAGGGTCTTATCTACAATGGATTCTGCTTTAAGTTGAAGCCATGTGACCAACTTTTTTCCCTAAAGCTCTCTGTATGCTCTCACTTGCTTTTCCAGTCTGGGGACTTGAAATATATTAACAAGAGGCAGGCAAATCCAGACTAGCTTGTTTATTGTTTCTTTAACATTCTGTCTCAATCCAAAACTAGACATGCTAAAAAACAAAACAAAAAAACCCCCACCATCCTCCAATAACAGTTGGATAAGATTAGAAATGCAGAGCTGCATTTGTGGAATGTTGAGAAATGCAGAGAGCTGCAACGTGGAGTTCTTTCTGGTCAGGTCAATGTGACTGTATGTCACTAATTCTGTCCATTTCCAGCATGGGGAGTTTTCCACTTGACAAAGGCCGGAGGGTGAGGGCTTTTTCCTGCCCCTGCATTTGGTCTCGAAGGTGCTTGATTTCCAGTCGCTGCATTTCAATAATTCTCTCAGTTTCCTCCTCAAGGTTCAAACGCAGAATGCCTGGACTTTGCTGCCGATCTGGGGAGGGACCTAGATAAAAAAAGAGGTCAAAAGAATAGTAGTCATTGACAGATTTTATTTTTTTTTTGGTCACAAGTCAAGAAAGGTAGTATCCAGAAACTCAAGACAAAATAGTCATGAAAAATACAAATGCTTTCATATATGAAGTAATAGAAGCAGAGTTGTGCTTATATTATCTAATAAATTGCACTGATTGGTTATTAATTATATTTTCATTTTTGGGTATCTGGAATGCATATACCCGTTGCATTCCAGAATATATCTTTATATATTCTGTAGCATTAAGATTCCAACGTAATTGGATCCGTGAGTGCCTCCAGCTGGTAATAGTGTTACATAATACCACATTATAATACCTAAACATGCTAGAAATGCTTAGTGTGCTGAAAGACTTCAGGGCTGTAAACTGTAGAATGATCTTCTATTATTAATAAATCCTTTCGGATAATTTAAAATGAAGGAAGAGTTTAGTCTACTAATCATTGTGTTCTTACAGAACATGACAAATTGCCTTTGATGGATAAAGAGTTGATTTCAGATATTTTTCTGTTGAAGTTGTAACTATAAAGAAAATTATTTTTCAACAAAAAATATCAGAAGCTGTTTAAACAATTCTCAAGGGTGCATCCTACTTAAGGATGCAGCTTACGTAGTCTTTCAACATGGGAAAAATGATACTGTGGAGAACAAAAAAGTTAGCCTCTGCATATGTTGAAGTTGAGAGCCTCCACTTTCTGTCACAAGGAACATTATCTTTCTGGTTTATGCAGGATGTAACATCACATATCCTGAGGGGAGAAAACTAATGAAGGAGATGTGAGAATAGGAAAACTAGCCTAATGGCATAGCTTTTGTCCTTGATCTACTTGACCATGGCTACCTGACTACAGAGATAGGCATCTCTTATTAGGGCTCTGAAGGAATTCACTGGCAAGGATGGAAGAACTGGACTGCTTCATCTGGGAAGTCAGACAAACATGATAGATGACTATGTTCTCTTGAAATAGCAATGGGAGAATTATTGAAAAGGCTGAGAATGGGAAAGTAATTAAGGTCAGAGCTCAGTATCTGAAATCCTAAGGTCCTTTCCAATAGAACATAATGTCTGCTATTCTCTTAAACAGGAGTCAGTGTCTGCTATAATCTGCTTGGTTCTTGCCTAGAATAGAGAGATCAACTTGAACTGGTATCTAAGCTATGGCATTTGTACACAAACTTTTTTTTTACTTTATTGGAAGTTGTAGCTCTATAAATGAAAGCAACACAAAAATTGTTTAACAATGTGCAGAGAAAGTGACTTGATTTTCAGAACTCCAGATATGGGCATGCCCAAACTGTTTGAAGAGACACACATGTAGTATATCCTAATAACAGTAGTAGTTATTGTTGTTGTTATTTTTTGATGATTCTTAGTGAAAACAGCCTGATAGGGAGGCCTGAGTAATAGAAAACCTTTTGGTGGTAAGAGACCTAGGAGACATTTGATTTTTTAAGGCTCATTAGTACCCTGTAGAATATTTGTTCTATAACAGAGAATTTCTCTGCAGAAAGAATTGTTCTGTTGCTCTAATATCAAGGAAAAAAGAAATAGCTGGTTCTATGATTCTTGCTTCCATAAATGGGCATGACTCAGATATACTGCCAAGAATCATCTTGACTCTTGTCAAGGCTACATATCATAGCCTTCTTTGACAGTTGCAATAAATATTGATCAGCTACCAAGGCAAGGAAAAAATGTTGGATTCTTCCTACTACTGGAAGACCCATCCTATCAAAATTATAATCAAACTTTCATGGGAGAATTGAAAGAGAGGGATTTGCTAAAAGGAAACTTATTTTTAGTAGGGAAACAGAGAGTTCCTGAACTTACACTGAGTATTCCTCAACCAGAGACAGAGAAATTCTTAAGCAAACTAAGTAGGAAAATTAAAAATTGCAGTTCCTGGGAAAACATTAAAATGTACGGAGATTCTAGGGAGGTTCTGCTCTGGATGAAAAAGAAAACAGCTTTCTTTAAGTCTGTAGCTATTTGAGTGCTAAGGTTCCATCAATTGCTTATTATTGCCATCTGGTGGCCAGTAAGCAGGGTCATTTTGATTTTCAGATACAGTATATAATTGAGCTTTTTGGCAAGAAGTTGGAAAATCCTGAGTACACTACTGTTGTTTCAAATGGGAGGTAGGCTGAATGTGAACTCAAAAAATTGGAACATTCATAGTGTGAGTTCTCTTGGAGGTGTTTCTTTTGCCAATTGCTTTTTTTTGTTTAATGATTTTTGTTTGCTCAACTTGCTTTTTTACAGGTGGTTTAGTTCCTGTTGGTACTATGAACTAAATTACAAACTCAAGGAAAGAAAGAAGGGAGTGGATGATTTAGAGAAGGAGGGAAGTTAGAAAGCTCTGAAATTAAGGAGGTAATTAAAATTTCTTGACAAAAGAAAAAGAGTAAATTGGAAAAAATTCTAAAAGAATTTTTTTTAAAAAAAATCTGAAGTGAATGAAGACAGGGACGAATGAAGAGGGACGCTACCAAAAAATTGTCACATGATTGCCTGTCATCTGAACAAATAATATGAGATAGTCATCTTGGATAGTCAACCAACCCAGACAGAGATGGTAACTTGAAATAAGATCAGGTATTCCATACACAACATTCAGTTGTTTAGTTCACTTCTTAATCCCTATGCAATCCCAGTCTCCTGCCATTTCAGACCATTTCCTCTTCAGACTGTCATGTAAAAGCAGTTATCATCACAAAGACATTCAATTCTGTGTGTGAAGATGTAGCACAGAATCTCTGAAACTTACCACTAGGTTTCCAAGGGCTATGTTTGTTTGTACTCAGTAATATTTTTCATTAGCCAAATCTGACCAGCTTCATGGTGCCACTATTATCAAGTTTATTTTTGCAATTACCAGTAAACGCCAGTGAACAGATGGATTATCTCTCCATAAACCATTTTTCCCCATTGAAAGCATTTGCTACAAAATATTTAACTCAAAATATCTACTTTCCAGGAAACCATACCCACATAACATTTGGATGGTCACAACATGGAATAAGTTAAATGTATTCAAAATCTGCATAGACCATTATTAACTAAGCCATGGGCTATAAAACTGAAGGCACTGTATGCCATTCATGCCACACAATAATAGACTCACTAGTAAAACTCCAGCAGAAATTCTCAGACACTTGACATCGCATGGCTTGACAAGGCTCTATGTGTGAACTCAGTATAAGGCTCTCAGACACATGACATGGCATGATAGGTAAGAATCTTTATTGTAAACTAAAAAGAATCCACTAAAACAGTTGATTGGCCTCTGTGAACAAGAAGGTGCCATTGTCTTTTTATACCCACTGCAGTTTAATTCTGGTGCTTCTTTCTCCTGTCCTCCCTATGGCTGAATGGACTTTTTGCTTTGTATTAATTGGCTTGGAAGCTCGGCCTCAGTTTGTTGATATGATGGACGTCTCTGACTGTTAACTCTTACATAAGAGGTTTAATGGAAAAAATCCTTACAAAGTTTTCTGTTGAATCAGAAAAACACTGGCACACACAAATAGGAAATGGTTGAATCTTTGATTCTTTGTCATTTTGTATTACCACATTTACATTCTGTTTCTCCAAGAAACCAGGTAAGTCATATACTGTATTTTCCTTATTTAAACCTTCGAGTAAGATTGGTTAGGCTGAGCGATAATCACCAGCTTGAACTTCATAGGCAGGGATTCGATCCAGTCTCCTTGCTCCTAGTCTAACTATCTACCAGGGACATCCATAGGAATGGCAACTGGCTTCAAAATGGCAGACCAGTCTGGGTAATCAAAGCCCTGCCTCTTTTTAAAGTGTGTTGCACACAATGCACACAGATGAAGCAGGATGGGGTTTCAATCACCTGGTCGCACACACTACTTTGAAACCAGTGACTATTGCTGTGAATGCTTCTGCTATCTACTGTATCATGCTATACTCCCCTTGCTGGTTAGAATACTCAGCAAGTATTAAATATTATATATATTTAATCACAAAATATAATGAAATTAATGTATTTATGTTTACACTGAGTCCTATCTATATAAAGTTGTTACAATTATTTGTATTAATAAAATAATGCTAGAGGATTTAAACTAGCTAATTTTTCCTCTGTTATTCAATATATATATATATGAATGAATGAATGATAACATTAATGAATGGTGATCCAGTATAAAGATTTCATGCCTCAGTGCCTTTAGTAAAAAGTAGCAAAAGAAAGAGAAGGTGTTATTTGCTGTGAAAAAGAAGAAGAAAGTAGTTAAGAAAACAGGAATCACCTGTGGGTTGTGCTCCTGGCTTCTTGTGTTTCCTAAGCAGGCTCAGGGTTGACTGGAGGTCATGGACTTGTGTGCGGGTGACCTTCAGTTCTCTTCGCAACTCATTGATTTCCTTAATAAGACTTACATTTTCCTGTAAGTTCAAGAACAACACAGTTTAAACTGGTATAGTTGTTCACTAGTATAGTGAACAGGTGTCTTTATTAATTTATTTACTTACTTACTTACTTACTTACTGGACTTATATGGCCACCTATCTCATACAATGATTCTAGGTGGCTTACAACAATCCATAAAAACATAGCTAAAGTATATGCAAAGTATATGCATAATATCAAGCCCTAAACTGAAAGAATGGAGTAGAGGTCCATGACCCTGTGTTCTTCACATATGCCAGCCTGCAGATAATACCATTTCCTGCAACCAAATTTTAATATATTCATCTCCCTCCATTCCTAGCCCAGTTACTTTTCATATTAATATTTGGAATTCATAATTGAGACTCAAATATATTTATCTTCTGGGTTTGGAAATAATTAATCTCTCTTCTAAGTTTGTACACAGAGCACATTGAAATTTCCCTATACAGTAAGAAGAGTTGGAAGAATAAACCTGCACTCCACTTTTTTTCCTCTGTGTTTGTACCTGCATAATGCGTACATAATCTGCACGGTGGATCTCGCCTTCTTTTACCACTTTCTTCTTTAGTGTTGCTAGATTGCGCTCAAGATGCTCTCGCTGCCTTGTATACTCTTGATGCAAGTCTGTATCAACCCCAACAATTTCTACCTGAAGAAACAGAGCTCAAACAAGCTTGTGTGAATGTCAACTGCAAAGGGGGAATGACTCTCAATTATTAGGGATGTAAAAGAGATCTGCCATACATTTCTGAACAGCAGTTCCACTAGGCTCCTCCATACACAGAATGCAATTTTGGACTTTCTTGGTCAAAATCAGCATATAAAAATTGTTGTAAAAATGGTCAGCAGTGCATAAGATGTGTGCAAAAAAGGCAATTTAAGAAATATTAAAAGAACCTACTTTGAAGAAATTTATATTTCCATAGCCTCCACTAGTGAAATTTACATAATAACAAAAAACTGTACATCAAAGACGTAAGCATTAAAAAAAGACCAGTCAAGATATTTATATAAATAACTTGATACATTAGGAGAAGTTACATACAGCCCCTCTGTCAGCAGTGCATATAGGAGGAAAAACCTAATAGAAATGTGTTTGTATGCATGTTTTTTTAAATACACATCTTAAAAATGTACTAACCTATCAAGAGGAGTAAATTGGACTTGATTTATATTGATGTGCATCCTTACCCTATCTGCCTTCTGTACGTACTTCTCATAGATATCCCTGATGCACTCCTTGAGTTTCTTAGGCTCCTGGATGAGGCCTACACAGTTGTGAAGATCTGTTTTAAATCGCTTGACAAGTGCTTCCATATCTCGCTCCTGCAACCAAAGGAATATTTAAACCAATCCGCAGAATGCTACTCCCTTTGTTACACCTCCTTGCTCTGACCCAAATAAAGGCACATAGATTTTTTGTAAAATACATACCAACCAGATGGCACCCAGTCAACAGGGAAGGTGGTAGATCACCAAATAAATATTTAAACCTATCACTTTGAATGGATTAATCCTGGACCAATTCACACAGGCTTGCTCATCATTCAAAAATTCATCCCAGATGACTTAATAGTTGGTAAATGATGAATAAATATGTAAATAGTGTTTATGAAAAGCATAATACTGACAAAATATGAAACAGCTTGAGGGCTGGTTGTGTCTGAATTGTGATAATTGTTCCTCATGCAAAAATATCACTAGATGTGGAAGTCTTGAATTTAAGAATGTACATGTGTAGTCACCCATTAAGTTGCTCATGTTAGGGCAGCCAAAATTCATTCAATATTATCTTATACTCTGAAAAAAAATGCAACTACAATTACAGAACTGTAAAGAAAGAAGGAAGTTTCAAAACTCATTTGCTCTTTGTATAGTGTTCAAAGAAAGAGTAGTAATAGTGGCCTCTACTGATAACTCATACATTATTTAAAAAAAAATCTGAAGGCTATTTTGTTACCTAAAGTGCATTTTTGCTTCATAGCACAATATAATAAAACATACAATGTACTTAATGAAAATGATAAATTTAGGACAAAGAAATGTACAGATGGTAGGCAGGAGTTTGCAATCCTATAAATGCCAAGAGTTAATAGTGATAGATCTGTAATAGGCACATGTACATGATATCTCAGATCAGCCTCTCCTGGCAAAATAAGGTGCAAACATTTCATATTAACTGTAGTTTTCAGGAAGCAATTCTTGAATCTCCATCGACCCCAGTCCTCAGTGTGACTCAATTAACACTTTCCTCACTTTCTCCACTCTTGATATTCAGTACTCACTTTCTGCATTTCTTTGTGCATTTCGCGATCTGTGGCTCTCAGCTTTAGGCGCAGTTCAGCTATGTTAAGTTCCAACTGTGTGTTCTGCTTATGGAAATGTTCCAGCTCTCCCTCCATCTGAAGAGATGACATGAGAAGAAATAAAATGTTAAATAAAGTCTGTGACCTGATATGGAGTGCTTTCAGAAAGAGATCTGTTAATGCTGCTAATCAAAAGCTATTGGGCAGTATCATCATATATCTGTATTAATATGCAATATGTATACATAACACACACATACATACACATATGCAGGGCCCATAAACAATTTAGTATATAAATTACATTAAATGTTTGAATGGGTTGCCATTTTCTTTTAAACATTTCCTTACTCATTTGATGCATGACCTTTGAACATTCCTAAGTACAGTAACATTTTCTCTGGGAAAAAAAAACAACTAATACAACATACTGTGTTTGGTCTATGGGGCCTAACTGGATAAGGCAATGGCACTCAGCTGAAAACAATACTAGAAGACATGAGACAAGTACCAAGGTGGGATTGGCCAAACCTAGTTGGAAGTCATAAAACAGATGGAAACTGAAGGTTTTTGGAGCCATCACATAAACCACAGAAATCCTGCCTTAGTTCTTCTGTATCTAATTCAGCCAGCTATACTTTTAGTTGATTAGAGGTGTGTATAAAAATCTTTTATTCCAGAAATTGAACAACTAAAATTGTAGACCTGCATTTGTTTCTACACATCCTGAATCTCTGGGTAAATAAGAACAAGTAGTACTGGATGTATTAAAAGGATGCTTTTGAGCTTCCATTTGGCTTTCTCCTTCCTTCTTCTTAACATAGTTTGTGGAAAGAAGGTAGAAATGGGAGAAAACACAGGAAGTTATAAAAATGAACCATCCTGGAAAAAAGAAAAGAAAAGAAAAGAAAAGAAAAAAAACAAAGTATGGCAATTGCATAAAACCTTTTCTAGAAGAGCAGGAAGTGGGTTGTCTTATCTATTTCTTACCTCCTGGATCTGTTCTTTCATGGTTTTGATATCATTCTCACGTGGCTCTATTTGTTTCTTCAACTCCTTAATTTTGTAATCTAATACAAATTTGAATTTCTCCAGTTCCTGATTTTTCTTTTTCAGATCATAAATTCGCTTTTCCTGGGGCAAGTAAAGCAGGAAAAAACAGTAGTTAAGAGGTGGTAAGGACATTTCAGACTTTCATCAGATAAAAGTAATGGAATCAGTTGTGATTTGTGTGGAACAATGGCACTGTAGGAGGAAGGAGCTACCAAATCAGAAATATTAGAGAAATTATAAAGATCTCAGAGCAATGTCCCTTAGAATGGGATGTTGTGATCCTGAACAAAACTTTTGTTCTATTTAAAGATGTGGGAACATACATCAGTGTGAGATATTGGGATGTGAAGGCAGCTCAGATTAAACTACCCAGTCACCTTACCTTATCTTGGATGGTCTCATCTCTCTCTTGAATTTCTCTCTTCAGCCCTAGAATGTCCTTTTCTAAAGCCTTAATAACCCCTTGAAGCTTTTGCTGCTCCACCTTCATTGCTTCAATGTCACTACATCGTTCTTCAATCTCTTTCTGGAGACTGTTAAACTGTTGAAAAAAATGTGTTATCTTTCAAGCTGAAAACAATGAGTCAGTGTTTCCTTCAGTAACAGCAACAAAATAATTATTTGCAAGAATCAATTAAAATTATAGTAAGCTGGATATCTTCATGTCCTTTTAGAAAGCTATTGCACCAAAAATCATACTATACTCAAAATCATTCTCAAAGTACTTTCAGTGATCACATATAAAAACTGAAATTTGAGCAATCAGAAGAAAATAATTACTTTAGAATGCAAACTTTTCCATGTAGAGAAAAACAAGACAAAAAAAAAAGAAAAAAAAAGAAATCCAGGTTCTTCCTTCTGATAGTAAACCCAGATTTAACATAGATCCTTCTGGTGTGCTAATTTGGCAGACCTATCTGAGTCTAACTTCAGAGCAGGGTTTGGGATACACTGATTTATTTGTGAACAATTTTTTTTGAGGTGGACAGAATGTAAAGGTTTTTATTCTTCTGCTTGGCAGATTCTTCCTGACAGATATTCTAGGGACTAACTCAAGGCAATACTCCCAAGAGATTTAACCTCTGGAAAACAGCAGTGTTCCAACTTGTCTTAATGTTTTTTTAAATCTAATATGTAATTACAGTACTAGGCGAGACAAGCAATTTGGAGTGATATGTCATCAAAATACTGACAATGCCCATGTCTAATTTTCATTTTCACTACCTCTAGTTCCTCAGTGAATGCATCAACGTGATTATGAATTGAATGAGATCTAAGAAATTTAGATTTAATGTAAGACATGGGTAGTGGTAGGCCTGCCCATAATTGAAAATTTACTTATTTTGTATGGCTTCCACTCTTCTATAAAAGACAAGATCATATTCTTGGGTTTTCCTGAATTTTACATTGCTCTGAATTCTTAAGGGGCAGTAATACAAGTGTTACATATGTCTTTCAGCAGTTTCCAGTATTAAGCTTGCTGTGATTGATTTTCTCCAATAATTTGGATGTAGTCATCTATGTTTCAGTAACTTTCAATAATTATTATTGCTATATATGATTATGCTTTTGAAGTTAGTTTGGAAGTTTCAGTCAGAGTGGAAATCTGTAATTTTTACCATAGAAGTTGATGCTACGGTGCCTGCTGATATCACCTTCCACACCCCCAGATGGCATCTGCACCTCCCCACCCCCATAAATAAATAAATAAATACATTTTAAATTTGTCTAAATTTACTCATGGGAATTTAGGCAAAAGCACCAAAATCTGGCTACATTTCAGAGCAAGAATGCTGAAATTTCATGGATTTTGTAATCTCATGAGATTTTGGCAATTCTTATTGCACATATAATTTTATTTAGCACCCATAGCATCATGAGAAACTGAGAGATGCCAACAAGTACCAAAAAGGTTGCTGAGCCATCTTAAGAACAATGGGCCACATAGAGCACATTTATTATTCAGAAACAGTATAGGGAGAGTAAAGGAGGAGTCCATTAAGTCAGTAATACTGAAAGACCAGTTTACTAATTTTCCTTCTTTCAGTCATCACCGGGCAGAAGTTAAGAGAAATAGAAAACAAAGCCACATCATTTCTCTGTGGAAAACCTAATTACTTTTAGTTCTTTTTGAAATGTGTTGTTTCGATCCCATCTGGTTCTGATAAGAATTTTTTAACTGAGAATGTATTTATTTATTCAACTTGCATTCCACTTTAATCTACTAGGACTCTCAGGGGTTAACAGTGAGGTGTACATAACTTATCTTGTCTTCCTCCCTTCTCATCCTCTTTTTCTTTTGCATTGCATATTTTAGATTGTAAGCTTGAGAAAAAATACTTAACCTTATTCTTTTTACTGATCTTTAAACAGTCCTTGTTACCTTTTCAGCTGAAGAGCATGATAAAAGTACTTTAAAATAATACTCTAGGTATATTTTACTTGCAAATAACTTTTAATCTCTTTCTTATCCAAATGTTAAAAACCTGCTGACTCTGCTAAACTCCTCTGGGTCTTCATGATCTGACAAGGATGTACTTATGGACTCCCATCAATATGGACTTTTCTTACTGATCTATTAGATTAGAATGAGATGTTTTGCACTAGGTAAATACAAGGAGAGCATAGGTTCATGCCCACGTATTGGAATACTTCGCTTATGAGAGTGTGTCTGGCTATGCTATAACAGATATGGTGTTACTTACATGAATTACATGTACCTTCTCCACTTGCCATTTAATAAAAGAAAAAAAAATCCAGATAAGGATTGCAGAATATACCATTATTCCATTCCAGGGCAACTCTGTGATAATTGTTGCTATAAAAAGCAGACACCCATGACAGAACCTGATAAACTGGAAGTGCAGCAAGTGCCATTCTCTCCCCATGTACTGGACCCAATCCACATTGGTCCCTTCCAGAGTTATATAGCCCTTTAAAAAAAAAAAAAAGCCTATAAAAGCCATTCACACAATTTATATCTAATTGGGCCATTCTAACTCTTAACTTAAAAAAAAAAAAGCATTAGCTGAAAGTAATTACAGCTGTTTTTTCTTTTACTATTGTGATTTTTATTGACTCTTCTTTCAGTAAGTTTTTATTATAAATATTTTGACAGGTACTTGGATCTTAAAGTTATGGTGTTATTTTAAATATTTTTTATTATTTTATTTATTCTTGTGTAATTTATTCATGTTGTATACTAACATTTCAATTGCCAACAACAGAGAAAATGGTGTGATTATTGATTTTAAATACATACATACACATGCAGCTCAAAAAGCACGAAAAGCAGAAAGCACTGAGCAGACCTTCTTTCTCATGATTCCTGTTTCCCCCTTTAATCGCAGATTGGATTCTCTTTCCTCTCGAAGCCGCCTCTCATATTTGATTTTTATATCCTGAATTTCTCTATCTTCGTCTTCTTCAATCTGTTTTTTAGTTTCCTCAAATTCCCTAAGCTGCTGTCTAGCATCATCTTGAGCCTGAAAGTTAGGAGAATAAAAGTAAGCGATGGGAAGAAAGAACCTAAGCAAAACTGCTGGGGAACTGAATGAAGTCTTAAGAATGGCCTGGAAAGGGCAAAATCCTGAGAAATATGGGGCAGATTTTAAAAACAATACTCTGGGGATGCCAAAGCAGCAGCATGATGTCATAGGACTGAAGGTCTTATGTGCAAGTGCCTTCTGATATAGAGCCCAATTCTAATCATTAACTTTCACAGTAATTAAACCTGGAAATCTTGAATGACATGGGAGTTCAGTAGTAATTTTAGTAAAATTGAAAACTGAAAACTCCTTTAATGTGGTTGAGCCAATGCTTGTTAAGACATTTTTGTAGATGTATAATTGGAAGCACAACTGAAAAATATTTTAAGCTAGCATTTTAAGTTGTGGAATTTGCTGCTTGGCATCCCTCCTCAGATGCTGGAATGCTTACAGGCCACTGTTTACAAAAAAGTATACTTATAAAGGCAAAGAGCTATAGGTCAACACCTAACTGGGGGATCTCTTTTTGGAAAAATAGTTACAAATATTTATTTGCAATAGTTTTATACCTCCCCATTCAACCAAGTCTGGGTAGTTAACAAGAAAAGCATAAACTGAACAATCCATAAATGAAAACTCAACTCCCTCAAACCATCATCACATAATTCAAAAGTGGCTACCCAATCACTAGGAACTCAAATCAAATGAACAAAAGGGGTCTTCAGAGTTTTCTGGAATGCCATGAGTGAAGGGCCAGCCTTATTTCTTGGGACAGCATGTTCCATAATGTTGGAACATCTTACAGAGAAGGCTGGCCTTCTGGCCCATGTCCTTTTACTTCTTGGAATGACAGGACCTTGAACAAATCCTCCCAAAATACTCTTACGGGGAAGGCAGGATCATTCCGGATAAGGCAATTCCGGATGTACCCTAGAACTACACTATTATAGGTCTTTGAATTGGGCCCAGAAGCTTATTGGCAACCAGTGCAATGATCACAAAATAGGATCCATATGTTAGTTGTCCAGCTGCTATATTCTGTACATATATCCAGCTATTTAAAGAAAAGATAGCACTTTGGTATTTATAAACAGAATCAGAAGATCTTGGGGTGGATTGAGGAGTCATCTAATCAGAAGGATTCAGTCAAAGTGCATACAGATGAGAGCTCAATGACAGAGAATTAATGGCAAAATGAAAAGATGATACCCAATTACACATCTCTGCCCCTGGCGAATTAAGCAATGCTGTGGATGTCTTATTTCAGTGCCTGGAGGCTGTGAGGGTCTGGATGGGGAACAACAGGCTTCAGCTGAATCCTGGCAAGACTGAGTAGCTTTGGGTTTTGGGGCCTTCTGGTTCTGGGACTACGCCATCTTTGATGCTGTCCCAAACAGACCCAGTGCACAACTTGGGGGTCTTTCTAAATGTGCAACACCTGCTCAAAGAGCAGGTGGCAGTCATGCCTAGGAGGGCCTTTGCACAGCTTCATGTTGGGTGCCAGTTGTACCGTTTCCTAGATCGGGAGGCTCTGTTCACGGTCACTCATGCCCTAGTCACCTCCTGATTGGACTACTGTAATGAGCTCTACTGTACGTGGGGCTGCTCTTGAAGAATATCTGGAAGCTTCAGCTGGTGCAAAATGCAGCAGCGTGGGCAGTAATGTGTTACACCTCTGCTCCACGAGCTACATTGGCTGTCAGTTTGCTTCTGGGTCCAATTCAAGGTACTGGTTTTGACCTTTAAAGCCCTTCATGGCATGGGGCTGGGTTATTTGAGGGACTGCCTCTCCCCTATTACATCTGTCCATCCCATCAGATCTGGCAGAAGAGGTATGCTGGGGGTCCTGTCTGCTAAGAAGCTTCACTTGGTGGGACCCAGGAGGCAGACCTTTTCTGCCATGGTGCATGCCTTATGAAATATCCTACCCCCTACCCCCAAGTGAGGTTGGCTCCACCCCTGTTGATTTTCCAGAAGTCCCTCAAAATTTGGTTATGTCATCAGGCCTGGGGGCCCCAAGGTACTGAGGTGGCTCCATTGTTGCTGATATCTGCTACCCTCTCTTAGCCTTCAATCACAATTTTTAAATTTTCTGTATTGTAAATTGTTCTTTATACAGTATATTACTGCTCTATAATTTTATTCTACACCACCTAGAGTCACTCTTTTGTGAGATGGCGGCCATATAAATTGGATGGATGGATGGATGGATGGATGGATGGATGGATGGATGGATGGAATAATGAAGTGACTTGGTAATGACTCTGAGCACTTCTGTGTGTATTGTATGCTCACTGCCTTTCTCTCATTCTCAAAATAATTCACAAATACTGACTTATGTTTCCATTAGCTCAAACAAAATTATGCCAAAATTAGTTAGGAACACAGGACACTAAAAGGTGTGTTGCACCTGCTTTAGCTCTGCTTTAGAAAGAAAATTTTGGTTATACCTCTTCCAGTAAAGTTGTTTTCTCAAGTAGCTTTGCCTCATAATATTCTGTCAGTTCTTCAAGTGCTTGGCTCTTGTTCTCTTCCATTTCGTGAAGTTGCTTCTCATACTCTTCCTGCATTCTTTGGGATTTCATTTGCAGTTCCTGGTACTTTTCATATTCCAGCAGCAGCTTTTGGTTATTGCCAGATTCTAAGCACAGGAGTAATTTTTAAAAAAGGTAATGCAGTATAAAAATAGATAACGAATGTCCTGCCCTTTGCAGTCTACACATGAGTAATGAAGGGGCATTTTTAGTATCCCCTATCTCTTGGAACTTGTCTTTGTAAAGTCCATAATCCTATATTCTACACTATTTCTATACCACTACTAGCTTTGAAGCTCCATTTCTGGCAACTTTATGTCTACCTAAAAATTTCCTACTCAGTATTTTTGTTTCTTTAAAGATAAGATCAGAAATGAAAGGGGCAATCTCTTTCAATCCATTCCCTATGCAGAAAATGAAGACACTAATGATGTAGTAGAAGAATCTAGGTAGATGTTAATGTGGTGTAAACTATATTGCTATTACAGAAACTGCATAAACCTTAATAACAAGGGCAGGGAAGAAGGACAAAATAAAACTTCGAATGTAAGTGACTTGCAGGAATAGATGATTTGAAAGAGATTCTTCTACCTGCTTATTATGCCATGTGCACTGATCCCGTTCATTAGCAGGGAAACCAAGAAAGTTATAAAAATAAATGAAAAATACAATTAACCCCAATTACTTGTTTGGCATCCAAAGTTTAAACCCAAAAGATGTGTATGTGTTACATATAAATAAAATCTTTATCTTCTGTCATAAAGACTGAAACTCTCATTCAGTTACATCAGATCCTCCTAACCTAAGTCTTGCACCTCTCTTGATTGTTTCTCCATTAATTCTGATAGTTGCTCCTGATGCTGTATTTCCTGTTTTTCTTTCTCTGTTTTTAGAACCTGAAATATATAGAGATAAAATTTTCATCTGAAATTTATTGGCAACTTTTAATTTATTTAAGTGACTGTATGATTGGAAAGAAAATAATGCAGCAACACAGAGAGATGCAATTGACATTTGACCCACACCTGGTTTTTAGTTTTTAATGATTCCATTTCCTGGATGAATTTATCAGTTAATTCCTTTATTTTTTCATTATAATTCATGTCCTTGAGACGAAGTTGATATTCATTTTCCATCTTTAGTTCTTCTACCCGTGTTTTTAGTTCTAGCATGACCTGAGTCTGTAGGATAAGAAATTGTAAGATTGTGAGTAAAAGAAATCAATGGGTAAATATTTCAATGTATACACGGAAATAAAAAAATGATTGTGCATATTATCTTTCAGAAGTATAACTTGTTTCCTATATTAATAGTATGATCCTATATCGTTATCCTGAACAGTAAAGGAACCAGCAGTCCAGAAATATGCCACAGACTAGCACTTGATAGAGTAACCATGAAAGCTTTGGAAAAGATTTTCAAATGCCAGGATGTGTTTATACCTGCAAAGATTAGAATGTAGGCAGTGGTTTTTCCTGTGACACTCTATGGAAGTCAGACTTGGAAAAGCAGGATGGAAACAGGATTGACGCTTTTGAACTTTGGTGTTGGAAAAGACTCTTGAGAATACCATGGATAGAAAAGTAAACCATCAAACAAATCAACCCAGAATTCTCACTTGAGGCGCAAATGACCAGGCTTAAATTATCCTACTTTGGACATGTTATGCAAAGACATAACTCTCTGGAGAAGTCTATAATGCTGGGAAAGGTGGAAAGATAGAGAATAAGAGAATGACAGTAGCAAAGTGGATGGATTCAATTATAGTGGTGTTGAGTGCATTGTTTGCAGACCTGAAAGACCAGGTTGGGGACAGATCCTCCTGGAGAAAATCTATCTATGTGGTCATTAAAAGTCGACACCAACTTGATGGCTCATCATCATCATATTGCTATCCTGTTGCAATACAGGATTGCAATTTACTGTTAATGTATGCATTAATAGTGCAATCTTCAGGGGTTCCACTGAGATTAGCCATACGTATTTCCAAGTTAATGTGAGTGTAATCTAACTACTTACATATACCCATACACTTTTTTGTGTGTTCCTGAAAAACTGTGAATCAAGACAGCATATGTTTTTTCCAATTGCACATGGATAGGCAAAAACAAACCTGAATTTTCTCTAATGTGTGAAATATTTCCTAGGAACATGGAGCAGTGTGGCTCAGGAGCTAAGCCTTAGGGCAGTGACTGAATCTTACATTATAGGCTCCTAACTTCTGCTATATCTCTGCTATAGTTCAGGGTGCTGCTTATTGACTAACATTTGTTGATTCTCAGATTTATGATGATCTAAACTTTTCCATTTGGAAACACATATTGTAATGATCCTCAAATGAATACCTTACAGTTATACTGACCTTCTCTTCCATGTCTGTTCTAGTAATCAACACTTCATCGGAATATGGTATATCTCTCTCCCTTTTCAATCCTCGTCCCTCTTTGTCATATACTTTCCAGATAATTATACATCCATCTTCTGCAGATGTTAGCAGTAACTGATCATCAGAAGTTATGGATATCTGTACAAGAAGTTTAAAAAGAAGCACCCTTAACTGTGAGACAGCACTGTTGAAGCGTGACTGAAAGGAAAGGCAGAGAATAGTAATAAGATGTCCCTGTTGGATTCATAAGGGCCACTATGAAAAATGATATGAAGGCTGATCCTCTACCTACTTCCTTTCTTACCTTTGAATGGCTTTTCCAGTACAAGAAAGCACAGAAACAGGAATAAATCATTGAATATCTTCTAGAGAATTATGCATCTTTTATATAATGAGATTCATGAGCTCTGGATGTAAAGAAAGCTTAAGTAATTTACTGTCAGCTAGGCCTACTTTTTAAAATTCATACTGACTCAGTTTGGAAACCTTCAGTGCCATGAATGTTTATTACTCCTATTTAATCGTTATGACTTTCTCAGAAGTAAAGTAATAACACTGCATTGTTATCACTGTTACCTCTGACATTTGGATTCACACAGACTGTTCTAATGCCATCATCATCCCAAATCCCCAAGAAAAAACCTGTTAGTCTAGATATCCATAGTGTGGATATGAACTGTTGCACATATACATAGCCAATAGTGCTATAGTGAAGAAAGCACAGGACAGATATTTATTTTCACAGAATAAAACTGGCTTTTTCCTACTCTTGTTCAGTTTTATTTCACTTTCTAAAAATTAAAAAAAAAAGTCTACACTTAGGCTCATTGCCTACCATCAGTCAATATTCATTACCCAGTATTTTCTCTCATTGCTCAATATGTATAGCACAACCTTCTCCCCCTTTTTAAAAAAATGCATTTCATATTAATCAGGGTTTTTCTCACTCTTGCCAGCTTCACCATAATTTGGCTCTTAATATCAGTAAGACCAAGGAGCTTATAGTGGACTATAGGAGG